TATCCAGACACATCCCAAAACAAGACATAAATCAGATATTTGGGATTTATCAGGACACATCCCAAAAGAGGACACAAATGAGATATTTGGGATATTATCCATACACATCCCAAGATAAGACCCGAACCAGATATTTGGGATATTATCCAGACACATCCCAAAACAAGACATAAATCAGATATTTGGGATATTATCCGGACACATCCCAAACTAAGATACATCCCAAAATCAGACACAAATGGGATATTTGAGATATTACCCACACACATCCCAAAATAAGCCATAAATGGGATATTTGGGATATTATCCACACACATCCCAAACTAAGATAACTCCCAAAACAAGACACAAATGAGATATTTGGGATATTATCCAGACACATCCCAAAACAAGACACAGCCCAAACTAAAACCCCAAACCAGAGATTTGGGATTTATCAGGACACATCCCAAAATAAGACATAAATGGGATATTCAGGATATTATCCAGACACATCCCAAAATAAGACATAAATCAGATATTTGGGACACACCAGGATAAATCCCAAAACAAGACACAAATGAGATATTTGGGATATTATCAGGACACATCCCAAACTAAGACACTTCCCAAAATGGGACATAAATGGGATATTTGGGATATTATCCAGACACATCCCAAAACAAGACACATCCCAAACTAAAACCCCAAACCAGAGATTTGGGATTTATCAGGACACATCCCAAAACAAGGCACAAATGGGATATTTGGGATATTATCCAGACCCATCCCAAAATAAGACATAAATCAGATATTTGGGATTTATCAGGATGCATCCCAAAAGAGGACACAAATGAGATATTTGGGATATTATCCAGACACATCCCAAAACAAGACATAAATGGGATATTTGGGATATTATCCAGACTCATCCCAAAATAAGACATAAATGGGATATTCGGGATATTATCAGGACACATCCCAAAACAAGACACATCCCAAACTAAAACCCCGAACCAGAGATTTGGGATTTATCGGGATACATCCCAAAACAAGGCACAAATGGATGATCCCAGCGGGATTTTTCCCTCCCCCCTCCCCCATCCCCGCATTCCCAGCGCGGAGAAGCGGCGCCGGGAGCAGGAGCACCGGTACCTGGAGGAGCTGGCGGAGCTGCTCTCGGCCAACATCCGCGACATCGACACCCTCAGCGTCAAACCCGAGAAATCCAAGATCCTGCGCAAGACCGTCGACCAGATCCAGCAGATGAAGAGGCTGGAGCAAGGTGGGAGGGAAAAAAAAAAACAACGGGAATTCCGGCGCTCCCGGGATCCTCCAAACCGGGATTGGGGGGAGGGGGGGATTGAGCGGTGGGAATTCCTGGTGTAGGAATTCCTTGTTGGGAGGGTTTTCCTGCTCCTGGGATCCTCCAATCCATGATTGGGGTGGGAATTCCTGGTGTAGGAATTCCATGTGGGAGGGTTTTCCTGCCCCTGGGATCCTCCAATCCATGATTGGGGTGGGAATTCCTGGTGTAGGAATTCCATGTGGGAGGGTTTTCCTGCCCCTGGGATGCTCCAAACCACCATTGGGGTGGGAATTCCTGGTGTGGGAATTCCATGTGGAATTGTTCTCCTTGTCCTGGGATCCTTCAGATCACAAGAATGGTGATTAATTAATGGAATTCCTGATGTAATAATTCCATGTGGGAGGGTTTTCCTGCCCCTGGGATCCTCCAATCCCTGATTGGGGTGGGAATTCCTGGTGTAGGAATTCCACGTGGGAGGGTTTTCCTGCCCCTGGGATCCTCCAAACCACCATTGGGGTGGGAATCAGTGGGAATTCCTGGTGTAGGAATTCCATGTGGAATTGTTCTCCTTGTCCTGGGATCCTTCAGATCACAAGAATGGTGATTGATTAATGGAATTCCTGCTGTAGGAATTCCATGTGGGAGGGTTTTCCTGCCCCTGTGATCCTCCAATCCACCATTGGGATGGGAATTCCTGGTGTAGGAATTCCGTGTGGGAGGGTTTTCCTGCTCCTGGGATCCTCCAATCCACCATTGGGGTGGGAATCAGTGGGAATTCCTGATGTAGGAATTCCATGTGGGAGGGTTTTCCTGCTCCTGGGATCCTCCAATCCATGATTGGGGTGGGAATTCCTGGTGTAGGAATTCCATGTGGAATTGTTCTCCTTGTCCTGGAATCCTTCAGACCACAGTTATGGTGATTAATTAATGGAATTCCTGGTGTGGGAATTCCATGTGGGAGGGTTTTCCTGCTCCTGAGATCCTCCAAACCATGATAATGGTGATTAATTAATGGAATTCCTGATGTAATAATTCCATGTGGGAGGGTTTTCCTGCCCCTGGGATGCTCCAATCCATGATTGGGGTGGGAATTCCTGGTGTAGGAATTCCACGTGGGAGGGTTTTCCTGCTCCTGGGATCCTCCAATCCACCATTGGGGTGGGAATTCCTGGTGTAGGAATTCCATGTGGAAGGGTTTTCCTGCTCCTGGGATCCTCCAATCCATGATTATGGTGATTAATTAATGGAATTCCTGGTGTAGGAATTCCATGTGGAATTGTTCTCCTTGTCCTGGGATCCTTCAGACCACAATTATGGTGATTAATTAATGGAATTCCTGATGTAGGAGTTCCATGTGGGAGAGTTTTCCTGCCCCTGGGATCCTCCAATCCGTGATTGGGGTGGGAATTCCCGGTGTAGGAATTCCATGTGGGGGAGTTTTCCATTTGGAAATCGTTTCCTTTTGGAATCAGTGGGAATTCCTGCCGTAGGAATTCCATGTTGAGGCGTCACCCCTGCCCTGGTGACACTTTTTGAGGTGTCACCCCTGCCCTGGTGTCACTTGGTGTTGAGGTGTTCGTGGAATCCCAAAAAATCCCTAAATTTGGGATGTCTAGCCCAGTAAAACCCCGAATCCTTAAAGGATTGGGAAAGTGGAGACACTCCCGACATCCCAGGGTATCCCAAAAAGTCGTGGAATAGTGGAATTCCCTAAAAATGGGGGCCAGAAAACCCCGTGAGACCCCAAATCCTTAAAGGATTGGGAAAGTGGACACATTCCTGATATCCCAAGAAGTCCTGGAATAGCGGAATTCCCTAAAAATGGGGGCCGAGAAAACACCAGGAAAGGCACAAACTCCTTCAGGATTCGGATGAACATCCCAGGACTGGGATGGGATAAATCGGGAAAGGGGGGGGTGGATATTCCATAGGGTCCCATCCCGCCCTTCCCTGCGGATCCAGGGCCGGTTTTTCCCGGCTGGATGAGCCGGGAGCAGCTCCAGGATGGATCTGGGAGCCCCTCCCCTTCCCCCCCCCCTTTCTCCCGGGGTTATTTCAAGCTTTTGGAAAAGATTCCCGGCCTTTGGAAAACTTCCAAAAGGCGAGCAGTTGGCAGGAGGGGCGGATTGCGGCAGAATCCTGGGAATGCTGGGCCAAAGGGGGCCGGCGGAGGAGAATTTTCCGGCTTTTTTGAGGCTCCTCCCACCCCCCCAAAAAATTAATAAAAAAAGAAAATAAAAATTGGGGGTTTTGGGGTTTTTGGTTTTTTTTTTGGAGGGTTCGGTGAGGAGATCTTGGAATTCCGGGATGGGTTGGGTGGGAAGGGATTTTCAGGATCATCCCATTCCGTGTTCAGGGACAATTCCCGCTATCCCAGGGGATCCAGCCCGGCCTGGGACACTGCAGGGATCATCCAGGGGCAGCCACAGCTTCCCTGGGAATTCCAGCCCAGCCTGAAAATCCCTTCCCACCCAAACCATTCCAGGATTCCCTGACCTTCCCCTTATCCCGGCAATTCCCGGTTACCATCCAAGAGCTCCATTCCCACGGGATTCGTGGCTCCAGCACCTGGAAAACCCTCGGGAATGGGGTCAGATGAACCCAGGGGAGGGCCCAGGTGTTTTGGGGGGCTCATTTTGCAGTCGGATCCATCCCAAGTTTTCCCCTGGGAAATCAGGGATTCCTGATCAAAACAGGGATCCGTTTTAATCTCCCACTTCCCCTCTTTCTTCCCTAATTTCACCCAAAAGGTGGGATTAAACCGGAATGAACACGGGATTTTGGAGGATTAACCCCCCCCCCCCAGTCATTCCCAGTGGGGTGGGGATTTATTCCTGGCTGTATCCTCGGGAATCTCATCCTGAGAGAGGCTCTCCCAGCTTTTTCCCGGGAATTCCCGGGTTAAAATCCCCTCTCCCAGCTGGGAATTCCTTTTCCTTTTTTCCTTTTTTTTTTTT